TCCATCTTGAGTACCATTGGCAAAAAGTTGCCAACAAATTTGAGAAGCATTATGCGCTTTCAGTGTACCATTCCAGCAATCTTCAAGTCGTTCGAGTGGTTCAGCCGGTTTGAATCGTTTTTCATTCAATGGTGGCACGGCGTATGGAATACCTCGGAAGGCATACGCTGAATCTTCTAAAACACCTTCAACAGGACCACAAGATGTAACAGCTTTGATGAATCTTCCATCACGAAGTGGTGGAGATTTCAAAGTTGAATTTCCAGTAAAGGAAAATATACAAATGATTATAAAAAGTATTACGAACAATAAAATGCCTCCAAAAATGGCCAAATTATCTATGCTGCATGAATAACTTCTTATTCGTTCAATAATTGTTTGTTTTTGAACTTCGGTTTCTCCAACTTTGCCATCTTTTTCAGCTTCCTTTTCTTTTTCACTATCGTTGAGCTACATAAATATAATTTATCAAAGACAATAAGTAAGTTGTTTATCGATTTTGGGTTTTTAGTTGAATGCACATACCTTTACGGTTTCTAATCCTTCATCCTGTAATGCAGCTTTGTCGGTCACATCTTTGTTGGTGTCATTATCTTTAATCGAATCATCCAAAGTTTCCATTGATGCTAAGCCTGCCTTATTATTTGGTCCGTTTCCCAATTCCAAGTCTTCGGTTTGTTGGTTGTTGGACCGAAGGCGTTTTGGAATAAGGTTTGGCAATTGTGATAGGCGAATGGCAGGAAATTTCAACAAATTCTTCTTGGCAGCTGGTGGTTCCTGTTCATTTTCCCCTGTGGTATCATTCACTGGATCCTTTTCCGGTTTTTCTTCCTTATTTTCTTTCTTTTCTTCAGATGGATTTTCTACATAATTATCAATTTATGATAATTAATTCATTGCTTTTAATATTGTAATGATATATTTAAAAAAAAAATTATCAAAAAATACCTTCAGATGGCTCGGTACCTTCCACTTTAACCTCAATTGGTGCATCACCAGTTTCTTCATCCTTTGGTGGTGCTGCTTTCTTTGCAAACGGATTTCGGAGTTTTGGGAATGTGATTGGTGGGAGTGAGGCCAAGAAATTTGCTCGTGCGCTCGGTGGAGCTGCATTTTCGTCTTTTGGTTGTTCATCAGTTTTTGCATCGTTGGCAGCATTGTCAAGGAGTTCACCTTCGGCACCATCATTTTCAGATGGTTTTGACTTATTTCGGGTGAAAAATCCTGGCATTTTAATGCCACCGATCGGAATCTTTTTCGGCTTCACTTCACGGCCATCTTCTTTCGGTTTTTTTTCTTCTGGAATTTCAATAACTTCATCGCCCTTGGTCTTTTCTGGTTCAGGGTCACCCGATTTGGCATCTTCAGCCGGAGCATCTTTTGCATTAGTTGGCGATTCAATTTCCGGCTTCTTCTCATCTGTGTTTAGAAGTTTTTCTGTCTCTTTTGGTTCCGTTTCGATTTCAGCGGTTGGTGTTCCGGCTGGAACATTTTCTTTTTCATCTGTTTCACCCATATTTAATCAAATCTCACTCACGTATGGCAATCTGTGGATAAATGGAAAATTGACGAAAACAAAAATGTTGATTAATCTAATGCGTTCAATTGTATGCTCAACCGCTATATATTTGATCAAAAATAAGAGAAATTTATTTGAGGTGAATGCGCAGTATGTAATTGAATTTGTGATCTTGTATCAAGTGAATAGGCACGGCGACTAAACAACATTACATAAAATTGATTTCAAGCGGGTCTATTATTAATTCCCACATAATGCATAATAGCTTTACGATTTGTTGCTTTTTTATAGAACCTATTTTGAATGCGCAATCAGGGCAATTGAGATTTTTCAATTGATTTTCATTATAAATTGGCCCACAGGAATTGAATTCTCAGATTCATTAAAAACCACATTAAAATCATTCTTCAGACATAGCAAAATTTACGTTTAAAAAAAATAAGAAGCGATAAGTCATTTTGACATATGTGGAGATGTACAATTATTGGAGCATAACATTTTCAATATATTTCATAACATCATATACGATTGCACTACAACTATCGCTCATTCAAAGTTGTGAACACAATCGGCTTCCGAATTTTGAAAAAGAAAAAAAAAACTGAAATCAGTCCTCTCAAATCGATTAAATGTTCGTTTTGCAAATGTCTCATCTATAAAGTAGCACAATTTCATTTGGTGGACACCGTATCATGCAAAAGCATCATGTAATTCGGTTGTATCTCATTATCAAACTCAATGGATGTCGACAAGTTAATCGAAGATAGAATACAATAGAAATTGTTTAGAATTGTCCTATTTCACATGCCAAATTGCTTTTCACAAACACACGCTGCTTTCAATAGCTTTTCATATACAGATAATTTTGCTGACATTGAAATTGTAGAAACAAACGAAAAAAAAAGAGAGAAAATAACAATTCTACGATTCGAAACTGCTCGATCGAATCGGCAACAATAGACTAAGACTAACAATACAATCATCATTTTCATCGTTACACTCAAAAATATTATTAAAATGTTAAAGTAGTTTCGTGGTAGTATATTCTTGAGTTCTTGTGTTATTTTCTTTTGTTACTTTTTCCTCAGTTCAATGTACAGAAATGTATTTTTTTCAAATAAATTGGTGTGTAAGTGAATTTTTTTTTTCACAATTCGGAGAAGAAATTTGCAATTGTCGTATTTCTGTACAAAACTGGATTTATCGATTTAGCCATGGCTTTGAACAACATAATACATAAAAAGACAAGAACTACCAACAACAAGAACAACAACAACAAAAATATATGCAAAAAAATGAATACCATTCACAGAACCAAACAAAAGCAACAACGAAATTCTGCAAAGAAAATATGAAGATTTTATTTTTGGGTCGTAAAGTCAACTTTACTTTTATGATGTGTATCTATTTCGGCAATATTTTCCATTTTCTTTGGGCCAAAGAAGCAAGAATAAGAACACAAATAATGTGATAAATGAAGGTATGAATCTTCGTACTGCATCTACATCACCATGAAAAATGCAGTGAAGAATAATAAAATAATCGCTGAACCGTAACGTACAACTTCCTCTCTCGTCACCTATGCTATAAAAAGTGTGCCTCATGTACATGACACGCACAGTTTAGAATACAAGAGAATTGTGTATAATTTGGTTATTTGGGCGTTCAAAATATCGAAAAGAGCTGGAAGCGACTGACTCACTGTTTATAAAACAACAACAAATGCTTTACTTGATGTATCTACATCATTTCATCTCTGTTTCAACCTGCTTCGTCACTTATATATTACCGCATACGTATTCATTTGCTTGCATGCAAATCCAAATCCACTGATGCATTATACTAAACTTCCAATGAAAATGCATAAAACAACCACACAAAAAAATGTGTGTGTATTGTTCTAACACTTTGAATTCTTTGATTGCATTCGATAAACCATACAAGGCACAGTAAAATTACTTTTGGAATTCGTTACATTGCATGGCAGCATAGTTGTTTCGACTCTTTTAATAACTCGATAATTTTTACACCACCAAACACTTTCACCGTGATGGGAATTCAATGACCTCTACCTGTTCGGCTACGCGTGACCTTTGACTAACTACATAAACTCATAATGTATTCATCTCATTGCTTGTTTTTTTTTATGAATTTATGTTTCTATCTG